AAGGTCAACTGATGAGAATAGAGAAGGTACCATAAATGTCCTATGTTAGCATTTTTAGACTCTGTAAGTTCAGCTTTAATGGTGAACTTCTGGCAACATACTATTGCAAGCCATTTTTAATCTCTTCTACACAAAATCCAAGTGTAGTAGTTCTTTTGTCATTGCACTGATTTAAGGCACCATAGTGCCTTTTAATCAAGCTCAGTTATGATGCAAGAACTATCTCCCACAAAGATCATATTCTGTCTTTCTGCTTTTTGATAAATGAAGTAGTTGCTCAAATGAGAATAAAGTTGGCATAAATTACTGTTGTCATGGAAGTATTAGACCTTCTGCAATATTTTGCTGGAATATAATTACAGAGGGATGGGAAGGGGAAAGAAAGAAAATTAGAACAGTATATGGTTCTGAAATGCAATGGTGTTTTTTCCAGGGTATCTCACTTTATTGAGTTTTCAGTAAAATTATTTTCTTGAGCAGGGCAATAAAGAACTAATAAGGAAAACAAAAACAATTTCTCTGGTGATGTACAAATGGATTATCTCACAGACGACTTTACCCTACCTTACAGGTGACTTTTAAATTAACACTTCATATCTCAGAAGCATCCAGACACCAGTGTAGATGCAGGTTTCATACAACTTCATATTCAAATGTGCATTTCATAGAGTTAATCAAATAAAAATATGTCCTTATATCTCTGTGAGGGATTTTGGTATTAAAGTGCTAAGTTCATTTCTGTTGTTGAAAAGGCATGAATGACCAGTACTGGAATAATCAAGATACCGGCAAGACAGTTGTTTATTTGAATTTTTGTTCTATGAAATGCAAACGCAATGCATATTCATAGCTGCACTTCAGATCTTTTTACTGGGTGTTTCTCCATTTTGCCAAACTGCCTAACTTTTTCAGTATTGCTGCTGGAAATTCTTCCTTCCTGAAAGAGATTGTACTGTGAAAGTATTGAATAGTAATATAATCTTCAGGGTTTGCTCTCTTGCAATATGGTTAACAACCATTTTGCACAGATTTAAGCTGTATTAGTGTCAAACAAGTGAGTTTTGGGGAATATAGCTGTCTTTCAGCTTATAAGTTTTTCATGTTTTATTGCTCAAACTATGGTGACTGAAAAATACAAGGCAGAATTGCGACACCGATAGGAGAAATGTTCTTCTGATGGTATATGCAGTCTGTAAAATAACAATTATATTTACATATTTTCATATTACTTATTAAATACACATGCATTCTTAGACTTGTGTCCTCTTAAGAAAGTTGGAAACATTGCAGAAAATTCTGCTGTGACATGATTAGAAGGTGATGTTTGGAAAAGCTCTTTCCTCATTTTTAGTATAGTCCAGTGAATAAGTTTTCCAAATTACACTTTAAATATTTTTTTAATTAGTTGTCAAAAATAACATTGTGTCAGAAACGTGAAAAAGGACTAACAATGATCAGAGTAGGAAAAATAAAAGTGATGAATGCACTGTATTTTTGAACATTTTCAGTATATCCAGGCCTCTTTAGACTTAATGATTTCCATGGTAATCTATTTATTTTTAGAGGCACATTTACAAATTTTACTAAAGATAGGACTACAAATAACTTCTTTTATAGTGGAAAGATAACATAACCTGTTAGGGCTTAATTTTTTTTTTTTCTCCCCCCTCTCAATATGGAAGGTGCCAATGCAGATGTGTATGGTGTGGTCTCTTATTAAGTATACATGTTGGGACTGCAATGATAAAATTATACTCTGCATATTTACACTTAAAACGATTTTCAGAAATGTGTAATTCAATTAAAACCAATTTCTGGACTATTTAAGTGGGTTAATTCCTTGCCAAATTTCAGTTTGCTTTCTTTAGCTAATGCCTATCCTACAGTATCCCTTAGTATTTTGGAAAATATTTTGCATCAGGTTGGATATTGCAGAAATAGTCAAGGCTTATCAGAGCATTCATGATAATTAAACCTTTTTCTTTTGGCATCATCCTTTCTAGTAATCCTGGTTGTTTGCCGGAGAGGTCATGTCAAAAGAGAATTTAGAGGAGTGCATATGTTCAGTACAGTTGAATTGATAGCATTAGGCCAGAGGCTGCTAACTGCCTCCTTGTTAGAATCCCAGAACATAGTATTTCCATGCGTAGATTGGTGCATGGTTGGTGCTCTTTCTTGGTCTCGTTCATTTCAAGTAATTTGGAAGCAGAGGTTATCCTGCGTACCCAATGTATAATTCCCCTTTTCTTAGGACACAGAAATGACTGAAAGGCAAAGTTTCCCCTATTCTCTATTTCAGTAGTGATTCACCTTTGAATTAGTGAGATGTTCATTCTACCGAACGTAAAAAAGTCTTCTGCGATCCTGCATGTCTTTTTTTTTATGCTTTGTTCAGTGATCTGATCAGTAAGATGAAGGCCTATACCTGACCTAGCAAAAAAGTCTCTAGAGGTGACCCCTGTATGAAATAACCCAAAATGCTTAATGTCTTTATCTCAAAAGGTGATGTACCTACCACGGATATTTGAAATGAAAGATATTTGGCTCTCTTTGGTTTTGTTTTGTACTGTATCATTTCACTACAAGGTCTTACTACTAAAATTCAGATCTGGAAAAATCCCAAGAATCTAATGGTTGATTCTTATTCTTTTGAAGGATGATGTTCAGTACTGTTGCTCTGAGCAGCATTTCTGCTTGAAGCTAATGTTATTCTATTTGAAAATAAAGCCAGATTCTTCTTGCCTGTAAGGGAGTGTAAAGGGGAGCCTCATGTAGCTCTGCCCTTCCTTATTTCCTGGGATGCCTCTTCAGATCTTCTATCATAGCACAGGACCAGTGCAGCCTTTTTTACATTGCTGCATTCTGCCAGCTTTCTGAAGGAACAGAGAGTAATCAGTTGAGAAATTGTTTGAATTGTGAATTTATTTTTGACCCTTCTCCGAAGTTTTAGGAAGTATAACTCTTCCAGCACAGCAGGGAAAGATACCTACATCAAATGTCTAGGTATAGTCCTAAGACTGTGAACAAAATCATAGTGAATATCCCAGGCACTGTTGAAACAAAGCAACATCTTAGTTTAGCTAAAGATAAAATCACAAATAATCCTTCATTATTTGGTTTACTTAAGTTAATTATTCAATTTGATGTATACAACATTTTTGTTTATGACCGATAAGGAAAATGAGAACTCTATAAGTTTAGTGAGAAAACAATGGCATGAATCTAGACTGTTTCCAAAATAGAAGTGCTGAAAAGAACACATACCCTTCTGAAGAGGATTTTTAATCAATAAATTTCAAACCACTCTTCAAAAAGGTTTTGTGTTCACATTCCCATTTTACTGATAGTCCAACTGTACATGTAAATCTATAATTAAAGCCAGCCAGAAACTTTGACTGGGAAGGAGTTATGGTAGGAATTTCAAATACCAGCTCTAGCTGTATTAAACTAAACTGTTGAAATTCCATCACATGGACTTAAAATTCACTAGCTTGCTTTTAATAAATTGCGTGGAGGGGGCTGGTTTTGAAATTTGTAATCTGGGATCAGGTGCTTTTTTTAGCCTGTATTAGCAAAAATAAGTGCATAAAGCTCTTGGGTTACAATGATTAAAAAATACAAAAATTAAGAAATGATAAACTGAGGTGATATATAAATATTGAGTCTACAAGGTATCCATTAGTTCAGATTTTATACTAATAGTTATCAGTGTTTGTGTGCATATGTTATAATATATAGACACACAGATGTTATCTAGTTACCCATTATTATATGATGGCAGTATGTCTTTTATTTGACTTTGACACAGATTTGTCACAGATTCTTTTTCATACACACGATATAGGAGTGTTAAATTGTAAAAATAGTTGAAATCTTGTTTTCTTTCAAAATATGCAATGAAGATGTAATTCAACCCTTAGATGTATCAATTGGGAATTTTTATGTCAGGTCAGGCTTAGGTTGGCGAAGAATGAAACTATTCAAATTCTTGTTTTTCATTTGAAAAACACTAAAAAAGATTCAACCATTTTGGATTTAAGGTTGCCAAAAATATTTGTAGCATATGCATTGATGGAAGATAACATCTTGTGAGACCAGTGACCGGAAAGATTGTAAACTATGGGCACGCATACAGAAGAAAGATGCAAGAGAATTTCTTACTCATTTCAGATAACTCAATAGGAGCATGAGTGTTATAGGGCAAGATGAACACTGAATATTTAAGGTGGCCACATATTGAGCACATGTTTATTCTGGCCCTCGTAGTGCTTGTGCCGTTCTATTTCCCTGCATATTGAGTTCCCTACCTATTGAGATTTCTATCTACCCGCACTGGGCCAGGTTTTTTACATTTAAAGCAATAAAATGATAGTTAAACTGATGCAATGAAGTCAATGATTGTTTTAGCATATTTTGGAAAGAGACAAAAGGAGTAATTAACACAATAGGTAGTTGATATGGAGGATGCTGCTTAGATTGTGAGTGTTGTTTAAAAAACAAGTAGTTCTATATATCCAGAATTTTGTTCACTTCCTCCTCCAACTCATACAAACTCATGATACTTGATATTTACAAATACTTTTCCTCTTTAAGATACCCATATCCTCATCAAAAGGGATTTAAATTGTTTTGAGACTACTGTTGATTAATAAAAATACTTTTTTTTTTTCAAATCTTGTTATTAATACTCATGCATAAAACCCATTAAATTTTCAGTGTGATAAAAATGGGAGATAAATGGATGATTTTTAAATGGCTAGAGGTTATATACAGGTGATAGTCAAGTCTAGTTTTGCTTTAGCTTTCTCTTATAGTGTGAGACTCAGTATGTTGTCAGATTAAAGAATATTCTACTTTCTTCTTTATAATGTATAAAATGTTACCATCCATGTAATTGTGTGACAGGCTGGAAGTTCTTGAACGTCTAAATGATATTTTTTTTTCTTGTTTGCCTCTGGCAGTGAATAATAATAGGCTGTTTGGTTTTGTTCCAGATAACCTTTTTCATGCTGCTGTCTGCAGTGTGCGTAATGCTCAACTTGGCTGGTTCCATTCTCTCTTGTCAGAATGCTCAGCTGGTACAGTCCCTGGAAGGATGTCAGTTGGTGAGTAATGAAAAACAAGTCTCTTAAAAAGGGCAACGGATTTTATTTTTCATTTGTTTGTTTTTTATACACACATTCCTTTAATTTTCAAAACAGTATGTGTTTAGTAGAGCCATCTACTACTAGAGTTAAAGTGCTAGTGCCTGTACAGTGTTTTGTCACCTCAGAACGTAAGTTGTACTATTAGAATGACTTGCTTCTTAGAGTCGTGGTACAAATGACACTTAATTAGAATAGGTGGAATACAGGCCACATCAAAGTAATGCAGTGATTGCCATTTAGTGTTAGCAGTATCAGGACTTCATCCAATAGCTCCTTATACAGCCAGTGTATTTCACACATGTACTGATAGGCATGTTTTAGTAGGTGTATGCTAATATTTTATTTGCCAATCTAAATTATTTGGTTTTTAATTGCCAAAGCAAATGTATGTTACTTATGTTAAATAAAATACAGCATAATAGAAATTATCTTGATGTGGCACGCTCTAAATTATTAAAAGGTACAGTATACCTGAAGTCTTTATGGTTTCCTCTCATGAAAAAAAGGCATAAACATTGAACTCTAACATATTTTCTGTCTTAAACTTACAAAGATGTCTACAGAACTAAACTCATGTCTGAAATATCTGATGTGAAGTAGATAATAAAACAATGATTTCCCCCTCCCAATCAGGAAATGACATTAAATTGTAAGATTGACAAATGGATCAATGATCTTTTTAGTATAATCTGGCTGTCAGTAGACCAAACAAACTGTTTAAACTGTATGAGTTTATGAATCATAGGATTCATTAAGTATTAGGAATATGTGCACATACATGCCCCAAGACATTGATTTGAATGAAAAAGACATTTTTCTCTCTAATGCCAACAGATGACTCCACAAAATGCTTGTGCACCTCTTCTATTCAGCCATTGTTTTCCATTTGTTCTAAGGTTTTTGTCCAGTAAAACCCTTTAGGCTTCCGTTTGCACACAGTTTATTTAATAAAAGTAAGTTAAAATAATATAAAATGTTTTGGCAAATATTTTGAAAGGCACATGAAAAATACAGAACAGGAAACCATTTGGGTGTGACCCCATCTCATGCCTTCAGTTTGTTTATTCAGCTTTTAAGCCTGTGTTCTGTTTTCCTGTCACCCATCCTGTTTTAGAGGCGTGTGTCTGCAGCTCCATCAGCTAGGTAGTCTCGAAAAGCTTAGGTATTCTGCTAAGCTTTCTACAGTGTTTGCGATTTCCAGGTGTGATTGGGGTAAAGCTTTTTAGAACCAGATGGATGGAGCCAGGTAGCTGACTCAGTGGAAAACTAGCAGTGACCCAAAAAGAGGAAGGGTCTTACCTATAAAATGTTTGATCTGGGAAACCCTTGATAAAGTTCCTGGCTCTCGTTTTGATGTGGAGTTGGAGTTGCACTGCAGAGCTGGAAAAATCAACTCGTGGAACCTGGAGCTGTTAAGATGCATGCTGTACTTTGGAGCGCAATGGGAAACTAGCTTGCTTTGTTGTGGGGTTTGTTAGTTTTTTTCATGAAAAAAAGAAGTATCATAGGTATTTTTTGTGGAAGATCTTTGAAGTGAAACTTACTGATTTGTTTCGAGAACCTTGCTTTGATACTAGGACTATTTACAAGTTACTTTAAGGGACTGCGTTTATATCAGAACTTACTGTAAAGACTTCCAAAAATGGCTTCATTTCTGCATGGAAGAAAGAATAGTCTCTCAAAATGAATGCCTTCCTAACTTTATAATGCAACTATATAACTATATTCAGTGACCTACCTGCTATAATTTTCAAACACAGTATGGAAGGAATATTGGACTTTTGGAAACATGAATTTACCTCTTCCTTGCTCAGTAGCTCATTGTTGGCAAAATCCCCTACAATTTCTATAGGTCTGTATTTCAGAACCAACATGTTCTTAACTACTTACTGATTTTGAGATTTAACTGACTGCAGTAATAGATGAAAAAGAAAGTGTATGTATATATGGCTGAGGGGAGCCATTTGTACTTGTGTGTGGAGTCTTTCACCTCTGACTCAGTAGTAACCGGTGTCATTACCGACACAATTTTGACAGAAGTCCAGTAAGCTCTGTGAATAGAATTTAAACAGCACATCCTGTCCCAGATGGAGAGGAATGCATGTAGCAAGAAGAGCACAATTGGTGCTGTCGCAGCTGAGTGCATGCATGCATTTTGCTGCATGTGTATGTCTGCTTTTGTAGTTCCCTTTGGGCAGCCATTAGCAAAAAGGGCTACTCAGCAAAACTTACTGAAAAATCCCTAAGCCTACAATTCAGTTGCTTGCTCAGACTACTGATAACTGTGATTGTGTATGCGCTTATTGGAGTCTATGTTTAAACAGTGTTTATCGTTTAATAATACCACTTAGCCATATGTGATCTCTGTTCTGGGATGTATTGTGATAACGTATCTGTGTTAGGATTCCTCATAGGCCTTTGTGCCAAGCAGAAAGACTCAGACTAATTTCTTCTAATACAAGCTATAATAGAGGTGTAGGACAAAAGGAAGAAAATCAAGTTAATGAGAATCAACGAAGTGGCATTGCAGGGACAGAAAGTTGAAATAAGCAGAACTTGCTTAGTTAGCACATTTGTAGTCAAAGAAAACATTAGCTCCAGCCAGTGGTTAGATGTTCACTACTAAGAAAAAGATATAAGTCAACAGAAAATCTTTTTAGTCTTTTAAATGTTCTCTTCAGTGACCTCTCTTCTGGTTATGAACCCCATGTCTTGTCTCCAATTTTGGTCAGAATCGTCACCTCTAATAGGAAAACTACTGCTGCAGAAGTAAGCAGTGACTGAGCTGTGCAGGCTGAATTCTCAGATCATTGATGAAAATTAAAAGGAATAAATTCTTTTTGGATAAGGTGAAATTTAGAAGGAAAATATAAGCTGGTTCAGGAAGAATTGCTTTTTTCTTCTTTTTCTTCTCCCCCCCCCCTCCCCCTTTCTTCAGCTTTTTGAAAGAATTGCATTTCAGTTGTTTGGGATGTTTTCCACTTGGAAATGTAATGTTTCAAAATATCCTAGATTCAGTGGTTTTCATAGGACGACATTTGATCTTATTTTAAAACAGCCTTGGGTTCTTTAACTGTACATTTGCCCTCCTTCTTCCCTCCTTTGTCTTGCCTTCTCTAGTCTTGTTCTAATCAACACTGAGGGAAGGGCATGGTTATCAAACAAATACTTTCAGCGGGCAGGCAGAGGGCTTGCGGGTGGAAGTAGGCTTTGCCCTTGGATAGACATTTTGAGAATAAGAGGTTTGACGGGTGGGCATGTAGGAACTTCCTGAGGAGGTGCTTTCCCCATTTGTTCTCCTGTGGCGGAATTCAAAGGAAACCTTTGCTTGTTTCTTGAGGTTAATGGAAGATTGTCACTTAAGCAAGAATCTTGCAAGTAATGTTTTGCATTTTTTCCAAAGCCAGCGTGCTTGGCTAGTAAATTAAAAAGCAACAGTTAAGTTTCATTAGTACTTCCCCAAGCTTTTCATTCCTG